AATCCAACGCCACTCAATGAGACAACATCTTACCACTATTCCTTTCTTAGAGGAGTGGCAATGCGTTCACGGAAGTTGTTCATTTCATAAAAGCTGTTCCGTGTAGCTACTTTCTTATTATGACAAATGTTTGTCGTCATAACCCTGATCCATTTTTTTTATTATCAAAACTGGCAGACGTTACTGCAGTGCTAATTAGTCCTTTTGATTACAAGCAGATCGTTGTATGATATTGAAGTGTTTTAGATATAAGATATAAACATGTTACGTATTTGACGTAAATAGGTTGTTTGAAACTGTTAATTTGAACACAATATTTTGATTAAACAACTAATTAACCAACATACTTCTGTATATATTGCTAACTGTTTCTTCCCCGTTTCTCCTATGCTTGTAAAATAAATCTATCGCAAGTGGCTTGGCATGTCCCAGTGGTAGGGCGCTTGACTCGAACTTGCAGGTTGCGAGTTCGAATCTGGTCACTCGAAAGACTCGTGCTTGCAGCCATGGGGCGTTATAATGTTTCGGTAAATCCGACTTTTGGCAGTGGGTGGTGTTGACAAGGTGCCTTCCCTCTAGTCTACCACTTCTAAATTATGGAAGGCAGTTAACTTCAAGTAGATTTGCGCGAAATTCAAAACAAAAGAATATATATATATTGCCAACGTCTCTAGAAAGGCTGGAGATCACACAAAATATTAGTATTGATGAGCTTTTAAAATAAGAATAAAGCACGACGTTTATAAAATTCTATATGATTACCCAATCATGCCTCATATCCAACAATGAAACATTTAGTTAGAAAATTACGTGCAGAAACGAACGAGTATCATAACACACCCTTCTCTACTTTGACAACTAAGCTAATGTTAACTGTTAATATATTTCATATATAATACCCCGTTTATAGTAACTTTCAAAAAATATATATCTACAAAATCAGTACAAGATCAATTCACAATGGTATTCATATCAACCCGCGATCAAAGCAGACATCCTATTTAGGGCAAAACTAACAATCAGCCTGATAGGCCTAATAAGTATAGCTAATTAAATATACTTTTCTGATGATTTGCATATAATCATTAGATTGCATTGTTTGATAAAGGAATTGATAACAAATTTGGATAAGATGGTATTATTTATTATCACTTAAATTTACTGCCTCAACAAAATCCGAAAGTAACCCATTCCACAAACCAACCACCCTGTTAGAAAAATGAAGCTGTCTTAGCTGAAGATGACTCCTTCCTTGCCAACTTAAATTTGTGTCCCTAGTCCCTCACTGTTAAATATGAAAAAAGATGATGCATCAACACTATCATTTCCTTTTACAATCTTAAACACCTCAATAAGATCCCCCCTAACTCTTCTTTTATTCAAGAGAAAATAATTTGAGAAATGTCAACCTCTACTCATATGACAACCCCTCCATCCCAGGCACCATTCTAATAACCCTTCTCTGAACCATTTCTAGCAATTCAGTGTCTTTCCTAAGGCAAGGTGCTCAAGACTGGACGCAATATTTCAAATGTGGCCTAACCAGTGACCTGTAAAATGACATTATAACCTCTTTCGACTTGTATTCAATATTTCTGTCGATAAAACCTAAAATCCTATTTGCCCTACCACTAGCAATAGCACACTGCTTCGATGTCTTTAGAGACTGATCGACTATTACACCAAGATCCCTTTCCTTCATAACACTGTTAAGATTATTTCCATCCAAATTATACTTATAATTCAAATTATGATAACCCATTATCTTGCATTTATTATAATAAAAACCCATCTGCCACTTATTTACTCAACTCAC